GTCCGTATATGATATCTGCTGGCTTGCAGGCGATTGTTGCACCTACTCCATATCAGAATCTATTAACTTGTATTTATTCCTGTCGAAAGACAGGCATTCATTCACATCGTTGCCTTTATCGGAGCTTGAGTGATTATGCTACGTATCACTTAGAAAGAACCATGAAAAAATATTTATATTGATTTTTAGTTTTGAGACAGTGGCATCTTGTGACGAGGCTGAACATGGTTTGGGTGTCCCTGACTACCCTTGGCCTCACAAAGGCATTCTAAGTTCATATGACCACGCTTCGTGTATCTATGTCTTTAGCTTATCAAGCTTTTTCTCAATACACTTGAATTTTTAGCTTATCTTCTTCAGATTTGTACTCAGTCACTAATAACATGTTAGTTCAAACTTTATCGGTTTACCTTGAAGTAATGACATATGTCCTTTCCTTATAATCACCTCTATATTAGTGTTATCTATTGATTATTTTCTATGCTACTTGGACTCGGATATGGGTGGCGTATCAGGTGTGGAGATATGAGCGTCCCGACTCGTCAATAGTTTAGAAATCTTGAACATTTTAGGCTAAAATGCCACACCTGACACTCATACACCCACACCAGTGTCGACACAACATGACACGGGTATTCTTCCTAAATAGAAGAGTCCGGGTAACATAGATTATTTTTTATTTTTCTCCATGAAATAACATTAGTATAAATATCTTTAAGGCCAGTTTCAAACTTGTTTTATTGCCTCTCCAATAAATTTAATGCTCCATGTAGTGGCGTATGACCAGTGGAATTTGAACTATGCTCAATCTTTGTTGTAAATTTGTACTCGTTGTTCCTTCTTTATTTATTAGTAATATAATAATTTCTTGGTTGATTGATGCTTCTCATTCACCTAAAACATTATGCATCTGAGTTAATTAAGTCCATTATATCTCCCCCTAAACTACAATGGACATTACAATTGGACAGACATTTGAGCTAGGTCCTTAACTCGACTCAATACGATGATGTAGAATCCTTCACACGGTTTTTTATACACTTCTTTTTTTGTGTGTGTTCATCAAACAGGATTCGTCGTAGTCACCAGGTGTATCAACAAGTATGTGCGTCCTGCCACTCCATGTCCTGAATTTCATACCGTGACTTGGTAGGTGTCGCTTACAATGAGGAGGAAATTAACCAAGGCAATGGCCGCTGAGATCGAGGTCGTTGATGGGCCGAATGATGAGGGAGAAATGTTTACCCGCCCGGGGAAACTGAGTGACCGTTTTCCTCAGCCATATGCAAATGAACAGGCTGCTAGGTTTGCAAATGGGGGTGCCTATCCTCCGGATTTAAGTCTGATGACCAAAGTATTTCCAATCTTTCTATCCATTTGCTTTCGTTGGAGCTTGTTTCTGCC